TATGGCAGGACTTCAGTCATACTTGACTACCGGACTGCCAGCAACGATGGCAGAATTGACCGTCATCCGAACAAGGATGCAGAATGCACAAAACCGCATCGACCGCCATCACCACCTGACCCAAAACTTGGAAGCAGCGGAACGGAGGTCGTCCGCCGTACCAACCCCGCAGATAACGGATGTACGGGCCGCCATCGAGGTCGGAAATCGAATCCTCGACGGCATGAGGATGACGCAGGGCGGAGATCTACCAGCCATCGCCAACAGAGCTCAGATAGTCAACGACCTCCACCGAAGTTTGCGCATCGCCCGCCAATTACTCGAACTACGTGAAGGGATAACGACAGATGACCAAGCCGTCCGGCTGAACATGCATTACCGAAGGATTCAACAGATAATCCAGAGCCAGACGGGCGGAACCGAACAACAGGTCCCCCAGCTCAGGTATCATGCAATGGCACTTCAGATTGGACAGGATGACCAGAGACAGAGGTCTGAAAAACCATCCTCGACGGCAAAAGCCCTCCAAGCCATCTATGGACGGATAGCCAATGGAATCCAGAATCACCGACTTAGATCCAGTTCGGAAAATTAATGACCTCATAGCTCACAGGGCTAACTGAAGATCTCACTCGGTACGGTTTGCCCACCAGAGGTGTACAAGCACCGACCCGAACACAGCCATGGATCAGGTGAAAACGGCTATCCTGGCGGAGAAGGAGAAACCTCCGACCTCACTGACGGATAACGCCCAACCGACGACGCTACCCTCGATAGCCATGGTGACTTCACCAGACGTATTCCGCTCACCACTACACCGACCACAGGTCGATAGTGGATCATCCGCCGAATACACAAGTGTTCGACCCGGCACGTCTGCGGACGCTCGAAACGCTGGAACGGAGACGGGACGAAGCGGTTAAACAGTCCAACACAATTAGGGAACGGATGCAGAACCTCCCAACAAGCGGAGCCGACCATCCCCAGAAGTTCCAAGTCCTGCTGAATCAGTACAAACAAGTGTCTGACAGCTCCACGGAATTCGATAAACTAATTCAGGTTGAACAACACATGATTCAACTAACCGCTACACCGCGATCGGCGAAGACCACACAGGGCCTTAGCCACACCAGCTGTAGACGGCGAAAAGACATTCGCGGACGCAAAGCCGCTGTGGAGGAGGCCATAAAATCCTGACAAAGGTATACGAACGTTCCCGACAAGGCTTGAACGCTTCGCCTTGCAGAAGATAAACGACTTCACAACTCACATAGAGTTAGTCGAAAATCTGATCCGAAGCGGGATGCCACAAACATTGGCGCACCAACAGCTGATACAGCCAGGAGTCGAACTATTGTCGAAACTTAATGCCGACAACCGGAGCATTTTAACCTTATCAAATCGACGACGACCACACAGGCCGCAACGTCGACATTACCATCTACCGAGCTGGTAACAAGTACGCCCGAAGTAAAATACAACTAGCAGAGGACCTCCTGAAGCGAGTACAACGGCGAGCCAAAAGAGGACTCGAACATATGTCCCGAGGACCACCGCCGAACACCAGCCGCATAGAATTGCTGAAGAACCTGACAATCGGGTGTGGTCGAATCGGAAGCCCACCAACAGATAGTGCAGGCTACAGATCAGCTGGTAGAGTACGAACGAAGCCAACGCCGACCAGCCGACTCCGACACGGAGACGGACGCATGCATCGACCTCATCGGCTAACGGAAATGCACTCATAATGCGGAAAAGCCGCAGGGAAAAGATGGCTGGAATAACCGACGGGTGGAATCTGGAACACCTCCAGCGATCCTTTGTCAACGAGACACCGTCCGATCCTGAAACCCTTAAAGTGGCGAGACAGAAGATGAACGACCTGATGGCCTACCTGAAAAAGGCGGACATCCTCATGGGTAAGTGAACCAACCGAGGCCGACGAACGGCAACTCAGGTCGGTAGTCGAACGGATCACAGAGATCCTCGACGCGGAACCGGCATACTCTAAGCGGATTCCGACCCCATCGCCACCTCGCCGAGCAGCACCGACTACGACAGCGGTGATGACTCTAGTCGGCACAACACCGATGGAAAACGCAATCGCCAACATGGACATAATCACCCAAGCTGGACAGGATCTAGCCGATATCTTCTTTCACCGACTCAGTGGAACCTTAACGGAACAAGAGGAAACCGACCTCACCCGGATCGACCGAGCATTACGACTCGAGTTGGATTGGGCCGATACTCTAGGCTCATGGGAAATTCCACCGCCAGGTCCGAACCGAGACCGGTTAGTCGAAGCACTTCAGTCGGTGATCGACTATGTCAAACAGTACTTGGCTAACCCGAACAAAGCGGGAGCACCGGTACCAGCTCGGGAGAGAACACCTTCCCCAGTCCCATCAGTTGGACTCGACGTCGAACTTCCATTCACCGAAGTAGTTGAACAAAAAGAAGTCAACATCGGCGAAGTCGAAGATCAGTATCGAGAAGCGGTCGAAGTTATGGAGAAGCTCGGAAAACAACTCCGGGAGCTCGACCCTAACAACGCTACGGAGAGACAGATGCGTGACGCCTTGGACCAGCAGTATACTATCTGCTCAAGGCGGGTCGAAGATTTGTGGAAAGTCCTAGAAGCTAACCCACAAAGGGTTCAGCCGACCTCCACTCAGTCAAATCCGACTACTTCACAACAACCGCCCGAGCCCACAATGGCCGAACAGCGGGAAGAACTTGATCAGAGGTTGGCCCGAGCTAAGAAGATCGCTGCCGACTTACAACGACAAGTCGACAGTATGGACGGAATAGATCCGACCATCCGCAACATACGGACAGCAATCGGAGATCAACTTAAGATTTCCCAGATGCATGTCCAAGACATAGAGGCGGAGTACATTATGCTCCGACGCAAATGGATGACGGATAAGACACGTCAGGAACGACTTGAGAGATACCGGAAGGAAACGCAACAAGGCGCATCCGGTTTGCAACAGTCGACGACTTCAAGTCATCCGACCTCAACGACGAGCTTGGTTCAACAAAGACCAATGGAAATGGCCGACCGGCCCATGTCTCCGGCTACAGAAGCTCGGATCATGGAAGCCATACCGGACACGGATGAATTGCCGAGTACGGTCGCGCCACATATAGTCAAATTGTTGGCTCGAGTAGCGGAACTCACCACAGAGATGAGAGCCCGCCGAAATTTCTGCATCGACAACAGCCAAGAAGCGAACGACTTGGACCGAGACATCCTGGCATGGGGAAATAACGCTCGGTTTATACGACGACTTTGTCACCCGGACGCCCCACAGACTACCAGAGCTCGGCAACACCTGATTCGAACTACGTCATGGTTGGAAACCAGGGTGAACGAATACGAGGAAGAAAAGGAACGGGACAAAGAACAAGAGCCGACCACCTGGCGACAGACGCCAGGCTGAAGGTCGGTCGTCTCAGATCACAAAGATCCAGACGGCTCGGAAACCGAGCTTCGACTCCGTCCGACTTCCACCTCCAGCCCCACCAGCCAAACCCGACCTTGAATGGATAAAAGCAGTCGAACACACAGTTACTGCGGGCGGACGCCGTTATCGTCGAACTCGAAAAAAGATGATGGACGAAACCGACCAGCGGAGTCCACAGTACTGTCAGATCGACATCAACCTCGGATACTTGGAGAACAACACCAAGGAAGCCCGATTTATCCTTCGACCAACAACAGTGTGGTCAGCTAAGAATCAGGAACGGCTGCAAACATTGGTAGCCATGATCCAGTTTTTCGTAGACGACTTCTACAAGCGGAAGGAAGCGGAAGAGCAACGTAAGCTGAAGAGGCCGCCCTCTGCGAAAAAGCCAAAGGTACAACCTGTCAAACCGACACAGGTAGTTCCACCGGTGAGTCACCCAGACGAGCCGATGGACGAAGTGCCAGTCCCTCCACTTGAGGGCGATGACGAACCGATGGATACGTCGGAGGAAGTCGGAACAACGGAAGTAACCCGACCTAAGCCCCTGGAACGACCTACAACGTTACCTGGGCTCTCACAAAGAGAACCACAGAGTGAACGAACACCTGACGGTCGACTTATCCTCCAACCAGGCAGGATCGAACTCAGTTCTTTGGACGAGCCGACCGGTAACGTTGAAGAGCACGGACCACGAAGGCGGCTCTTCCCGTCGAAGTCGCCATCACCAGTCCCAGTCAGGACCAAGGAACAACTCTTGAAATCCTGAAACCCTACGGCCCCTACCACCGGCCGAAGAGAAGCCGGGCCGGTCCGAGCGAAAGCGTATTCACTGGCCGTCCAGAAATTAGTCGGCCAAGCTAAAACGCTGGACCTCCAACGGATACTCTACGAAGCACAACTTCAAGGAGGTATCCGAGATCGGACCATGACAGAAGAGCAACAGACTCAAATGGCCCAGAAGATCCATGCTACCATCCAGGATAGAGACAAAGTCCTGAGAAGGTTGGTTACTGCAGATGCGGAAAGCAGGAGGTCTGGCATGGATCCAGACTGTTCCAGCGGCTCCACCAATCAGCATCAACCCGGGCGCCTACACACTGGAAATCCAACCTCGGCCCGGAGAAGAGGTGACCGAGAAGATTCCGATAACAATGTCGGACAGTAGCGAGGACGAGGAGAACGCGGACAACATCGACTCCGACGACTCCATGCACCAAAAGGCAGCGGTACCTACGAAGGGATCCACACCGAAACGAGGTAGATCGCCGGTAAAGCAGATTTCGCCGACTCGATCAGCATCCCAGCCGACTAAGCTGCCAAGTCAACCGACGACTGAGAAACCACCTAGGTTCTCACCTCGGAACACCCCAACGAAACCAAAGAAAACCGAAGAAGCGATGGATACAACATCCTTCGGAAGCGCGAGTCGGAATTACGGTCGAAACGTCACCACAAAGGGACGAACCGACCTCCGTTCACTCTGGCCCACGTCTAACAATACCGACGAGTCTCGAACGAACGAGTCGACGACCGAGTCGGTTAACATACCGACCAAACGGAGTACGGCAAAGGAGAAACCACCTCAAGACTCGTCGCGGGAATTTCATGACGACCTAGCCCTACAACACGTAAAGGACTTAACGAGGTCGGAACAGGACGCCTGCATCGACATGGCGTACCCAGAGGATAGGGAACTCTGGCACTCGCTGAGAATCCGACGTGCCAGTATAGTCGGAAATACCACGGAAGCTCGGCGTGACCACGACCGACTTACCGAGAAGATGGCCGACGTGATGAAACGAATGGGAGAACACTACCGAGGAAAGGGAGTCGACCTAAAGCCCTACAAGAGGCTACGCCGACTCAGCGCAAAGCCACCGCCCCGGAACCCAAGTCGACTAAGAAGACGGTACAGCCATCCGTCGTTAAAATGAAAGTTCCCTTCCGACCAGACAACCTTCCGTTCAGATCGACGACGATCGACATGAAGGTCATACTCGGCTAATTCCACGAAATCCCATAAGGATAAACGGAAGGCCAAGAAGGAAGCAGCAAAGCAGTCTGCCAAGTCGCAAGCGACGGAAGCCCAGAAGAAACCAGCCAAGTCGGAAGTCAAGCAGCCGGCTAAACCGCAGTCGGACTCCACGGTTAAGACGCCGAAGCCCAACCCGGCTAAGCGGCATAAGTCATCTGACGACTTGGATATTTCGGATGCCGGCCCACAAAGGACCGAGCAGATGGAGAAGGCTCAAGAACCGCACGACAAGGAGGCGGTCGAACGGAAATTCAAGGAAGTCATGGAACGAACCGGCACAAAGCCGGCTAAGACTTCAGGAGGTCGGCTACGAAACCCACCAAGACCACCGACTCCGCCCGAACAATCTCAGCCTTCAACATCCAAGCAACAGTCCGATGTAGAATCCGATCAGGCCTCGGACCTTGAGGATAAGGACTCAATCTCCGACCACGGAGATGGGGATCCCTATGAAGGATTCAAAGGCGACATGAAAGAAATGTTTAACCATGGAGCGGACACCGACGAATCCCAGTGGCCAGCTCCAGACGATGTACGAGCGTCTTCCGGACGAACAGCCGGAGGACCCGGTCGACATTAATCCGTACAGTCCGCGTACGTCGAAGTCGTCCGTATTCGGAGTGCCAAGGAAAACGGCAGGGACATCTACCAATCCCTGGTACAAGACTTGTCGAATAACATACAAGTCGTCGAAGGCGAAACCGGAAAGTGGTTAACGCATCAACTTATGATGCAAATCGTCGCCTGGACCTCGACTATGGATTAGCAGTCGCCGTCCACCGACAATGGGGACGGATGGCTGAACTTATCCAACCGGACCTCATCAAGTCACTTAAAAGTGCAGCAGCGAGGAACGCGGATGACACACCGACTAGAATCTGCAGTGTATCGGATACATTCGAAACCCCCGCGGATCGACTTTGGTCCAAATCGCCCGTGTATATAACGTGATGTACATGGACAAGAAGGGTATCGACGAAATTATCACGTATAGGATAGGCGAACGAATCGCGCTCCTGGTCGAGAAACATATTCTCCAGACGACTAATGCGGAACGCGATGTCCCAGTTCGGTATACCGTGCCAAACTTCATACCGGAACAACATCGGCGTGAATTCAACCTCCGGATGTCTTACGTCAACACGGACAAGCCTCCGGCGGGCACGGAACCGACCGAAGAATACAGTGATTCCAACGAACAACCGTCGGAAGATGCAGCCACTTTGCTGCATATAGCTCGAACGGCTGCACAGTCGTCACAAAGACGAGTACAAGCCTTAACCCGACCTCGAGCACCGCACGAACCGACAACATATGTCGGCACGGCATCGGCTCCGGCGGGACGAGCAAGCACAGCCAAACCAACTCGGAGTGCGAAGGGACGGTTCATACCGAAGGACGTACAGTCACTTCCACCGTCCTCGCCTATGGAAATTTCGCCGGAACCAGAAGACTCGACCCAACAGAAGGGAAAGTCGAAGTCGACTAAAACGAAGTCGACTAAGCCGGCTAAGAAAAGGAACCGGAAGTCATCGGGCTGATCTCTCGTCATCCGAGGAAAAACCGAAGACGATGACGACGATGACGACGAAGATTTCCGAACACCCGGAAATGGATCGCCGAAGGATGACGACGACGACGACGGAAACGGTAAACCTCCACCGCCGTCGAGCTCGGCACCCAACAGCAGGCCGAACCGGAGATACCGGCTAAACAACCCGAAGAGAAGGATAGCGGCGACAAGGCCGACGACTCCAAGAGTAACGAAGACGATGGCGGAGTATATGTTCCTCGTCAGTACGGTAAACGAGTACCACTGACGCCCGACTCCGACCACCAGCCACTTCGCTCGGACTTTCATGAGGATATGATAGAAGTCCTACCAGACGACATTCCCCACTGGTCAACGTTAGGTTGAAGTATACCGGCATTAAATCGGCTTCGAAACCCAAGCCAGTGTCTCGGAATATGATGCGGGATGGATACATTCGCCGCTTTGAAGGCCTTGGCCACACGAGGACCGAAGTTCGCCACACCAAGAATCGCCTTCAAACTCCTCCAACACTGGAAGGTAGATGAGACGGGCGATTGGCGACAACTTAGCCAGAACAACGTGCGACATTACTGCGACCTAGGATACCATGCAGGGAAGTTGATACGTACATATACCAGCGGAAAGCGGATGTACTACGAGTTCCCACCGGCTAAGAAAGACCCGGCTCCTTCAACATATGAAGGATGGATACACGCTATCGAAGCGTGCATGGAAATGTCCTGGCACCCTGACGGACTTACCCGCGGAGAAATACTTCACCAACTCATAGCGCGGTTCGAGTTCCAGTGGACATCAACGGAACCACAGCTGGTCGATCCCAAATACAAGGCCAAACCGGACACTGCCGGACGGAAGAAGTACTCCCTGGACGACGAACTAGAATTCGTCATATCGAAGGCACTCTACCAACAATTCGCCACAAATACCGATAAAACCCAAGGCGGTCAACGGTTTATCGCCTTAAATCCATCAAATCATCGACATGGACATTTACCGGAAGGAACGACCGACCTCGGCACAATCGACCGAGTTGGCCGACTCGCACCAAGCAAGTCGGCTCGGGTCGCCAGAAGCGCCTATACGGGAATGAGGAAACGCAGAATGCGTTGGGAGAGAGGCATAACCGACCTCCTCCCATTGACACCACATAGGCGTCATCGACCAACAGAAGTCGACTTACCTCATTAGACGACCACAAAGGCGTCTTGGACCAGCTCGAGAACCGACCTGGCCCGACCGTAGTAATTATAGGACGTAAATTATAGGATGCAACCGAGAAACGGTTTGCTGACTTTTGTTTTAACAGACTCGTACGGAAGAGCCCCGAACGGAAGCCTTTACGGTGGACTGCCAACAGTGCACGGACAACGCGACAAGGGACAACAACAGAATGCCCTGCGCGCTGTGCATCGTATCCTTCACGAACGAACGAATTTCCGGCACCGGAGCGCAACACCGAGCTCAGGCGGCGGCACTTTACCTAAATGTGGTCGCTGGCAACAAGCGCATACCGGTACCTAGCCGGCAGAGAATACCTGATTAACCAACTGGAGTCATACGAACAGGACAATCTGGCTACAATTCAGCGACAACGAGCTCGCGACCCGAGATGGGAAGAGACTCGACCACCAGTCCTAACAAATAGGCTGTTCGAGTACCGCCAGATGCTGGACCTGCAACGTCAACTTGACGACCAGAAGATAAAGGAGGTCGATAGGAAGATCGCCACAATGCGAGTCCATCCACCACCGACCGATTTCGAACCGGAAATAAAGATTCGGGTACAGACACCCACACAGGGTCTCCCGACAGTCGGAGAATTAACTCCCACAATACGCGATGTCTTCGTCGGAGATCCGAACCGACCGATGACCGGCGCATCTATACGATGATGATGAATATGCCGGACGGAACTCAGCCAGTTACCTTCACACCGGCAACTCAGGAACAGTTGATGGCAATCCCACAGGGCAACGCCAGTAGTCACTCAGGCTCGTCCAACTGTTCCCCAGCAGATCCCCAGCCCGGAAATCCGGACTCAACCGGCGGCTCAACAGCAGCGCCGACCGAGCAAGAATCTTGCAGGACATGACCTTCGACACCGGATCGGCCCAGTTGATCTTCGAGACAGAATCGAAGCGCAACGAGCCGTTATCCATGAAGCTGGGAAAGGAGCCAACCAGAGCTCCACCAGGAAACGAACCGGATCTGGAGAAACAGGAATCGGACTTACGGTCGACTTAACAAATAAGTCGAAACGTAACTTCATCCCACCCGATCAGCAGCCGGAAGGCCAACAAGTGAGACCGGCGGCCGAAGCCCAGCTGAACCGGAAGCTCAACAAGAGCAGATGGACGTCGACGTAGCCGACCAGATGGCACAACTGCCACAAGTGGAAGTGCCGATCCGAGAAGACCTTCGCTATGATCGAGCTCGACAACAAGGAATCGAGGTCGTCATGCTACAACCCACTGAACGGACGAACCACATTATGAATGTCATGAACTACGAGGAACGCTACCGACCACAAATCTGGCGGATGGTAGAAAACCTTCGTCAATTCCTCGTCCGGTCCGGATATCAGATGCTGTTCCAACAACACCAGTGGCGAGCTGACTTCAAAATGAACGCGCACACAGCGCCGAATGTTGAACACCCGTACACCAGATCGAATGCGTTGCCGTCGATGACCGACCCGGTCTTGCTCAATGTACCATTGTACAGCCCGGACGGAACACGTGCGAGCCAACTAGGAGCTCGGGAATACTCCCATGACGAGTTGGAGAGTGTTGCCCAGTTCGTCATTACGGACGCACACCCAGCCTTTGTAATCACCGCGGCTCGGGCAGCACTGGATTTAACCCAGTACCTTCCGGAAGGAGAAGTCGACATGGCCCAAGACGGAGTCACGGCATTCCTGCGATTTATCTTCGCAGCTCGACTCGGCAATTACTGCCATTATACATTATACGGCTTGTACCAGAACGAGATACCAGCGGCTGTGGAGACCTCGTAGCCCAACTCGGCACACCGATGAGAAGTGTTATCCTAGCCGTCTGGATGCGTGACTTGCTGTACACCCACGAACGGTATGCGACAAAGTATGCCTTTCGCGAGGATCACGTAGATCCCAGCGACGACGCAACTCGATTCATCAGCTGGTACCGCGAGAAGAAGACCTTGCCTAGCGGATTCAACTCGTCGCCCTACGAACCTTGGATGTCGGACGACATAGCACCCGGCGCACGACCGTATGCGCTGCGACTCCGCAAACAAGCGGCCAGGGACTCAAGGAAGAGTAGAGCGGAGCGCCCAGGCCAAGAATCAGATGAGACCGACGAGATGTCTCAACGGAGTGGCCCGGCGACTTGCAAACCAAGGGACCCAAATATACGGCCACATAACCGACCTGGCCCGGACGATGATGAAGAAGAAGACTACTTCGGCGGCGATAAACCCGTCGAAGTCCCACTCAGTTAAGGTCGAGTTCCCACATTGGAACTCGATCCTCCCCACTCGGAATAACCACGGGGATTCAACGCCGAGAAACGGCACGGTCGAGAACCGACCTTCCGACTGAGAAACAGTCTAGCTGAGAAACAGCGCCGTCGAGAACCGACTTCGGAATGGACACTTTTCTTTAGTTCTTTTCATGGAAACTGATCAACCATGTACGCGGCGGACGTCAACGACGACCTTGCCAGAAAACCGACTACACAAGTCGGCCGGATTCTTTGGTCGGACCCGGAAACGCGTGGTTAGACCCGGGTATTTCGGTTCTTTCACCGTACCGGTACGTCCCCCAAGGAATCCCCTGGAACGAACTGGGCAACCGACCCCAGTTCCCCAGCTTGGCAAAAACAGATCGTAACCACATCTGCTAACAGAGCAGATCGTCAACCACGTTCTGCGACCATCGGAGCCAACAGAAGCCCCAATCCGCGTTACATGGAGCCGACCGATAGTTACATGGTACAGATCATGCCATTAACCACGATCGGCTATGAAGATTACTCCGGCCAACC